AATAAAGGGGTCGACTACATAAGTATGCATACATACATATATATGCTGCCTTTCTTCGCTCAAATGCTCGTTCTAGGCGTAGATTTTTCAATATCGAAATTTCTCAGAATACGTTTTTTTATAAAATAAGAATAAGAATCTCAGAATTCTCAGAATAAGAATTTCATGAAAGCTATTTCAACATTGCGGCATTCTCTTAAAAAGAACTGCTACTTCGAGGATGCATATAACGTCTATGTTTTACCTAAAAACAGAGTACTTCACACATTTACCGTGCAAAACCGGTGGAGATATTCAAAAATGAATTTACTGATCTAAGGTGTTTATCATAGCTATTACTATCGTTAGTTCTATAAGCGAATTGAAAGCCAGCTATGATTTCTTTTCGGGTAAACCAGATGTCATAATTATATTTCCAACCTGCACCTTAAAAGTATTCGTGAACATATTTTAAATGTCTATTTAATTTTTTGATGATATTTTTATTATCTTATTCATATTACTTTCACATCATTTGACTTATTTTGTGTAAGTTTATGAGATATTTCACATGGATTTTCTAAGATTATGTACTCGATGTATCTTGATGTAATTTAAATGCTAGACGGTAAAGACTTAAAACTATCTCTTCTGTTACATAATATTTAAGCGAAGTTTAAAGATGTGGAAAGATTTTAGAAGTTTCTCAATCGTTTTCAGACATATTAAGGGTCTTAGTGTCTCGCCAAGCTAAAAGTTTTAACATCAAATTAACTTTTTCCTCCAAATTCTGAAATCTTCTGCTTGGGTTGAGAAATTCTTAAGCGGCTGCAGCTGTAATTTTCTGTTGTGTAATTCGTCTAACTACCGATGGCAGCCTGATAGACACTGTCCGATTTCAATTTAGGCTTCTAAATGGCTGGTGATTAACTGTGTGCATTGTTTCCGTGGAGAATATATTGTTCTCAGAATCTGGGTCTCAGGTAAATAGCGACGTGTCTTGATGAACAAAACGTATAACTATAAGCTTTAATAAGGTTTCACTTGTTGTAATGGAAAAGTGTTTACTGTCTGGCAATTATGGACATACTTTAAATCAACCTAAATACGTTCACAGGTGTCTGTTAATTAGTCCCATGACCATTCATTTTACGCCGAAAATTATTAACTTTAATGTAGCATAATTTAATATTTGTTATAAGTATTTTAACTATTTTTAGCCTTTGATTTAAGTGAACAAAGAATTCTTGCTGTGATTACCTACACCTCCTCACTAGTTTCGTTTATAAAGAGGAATTCAATGTCTATGGAATTTGATGGCCACGTGGTTCGTACTTAAAGACAAGTTATAAAGTATAGAGATTTCTGCGGCATTAAATTAATTGTACAAGCCCCCTTTATTTTGTGTTATAAATTTTACAAATTGTTCTAAAAATGTATATTACGACAGTTATTTTCTATGCTTAAACATCCGCAACTTTTAAATACTTAAAAATATCTACTCCCAAATAATAAGCAGTTTTAAATAAAATTATATTCCAGTTATTCATGAAAAAGTATCACTTTCAGCCTCGTTATATTTTCATTTTCGAAAAAGTGGTTTATATTTATTCAAAATTACCGTTTTCTGTCACGTTTGTTATAATAGAGGGAACAATTTTTAGACTTTCAATGTTCTTAATTATTATACTAATTTAAGTGCCTTCAGTGTTGGCCCTAGCTTTAAGCAGACCGAAGAAGCTTCATTTGGGGGCATGGGGATAGTTTTTTTCGAAATCTCAGGTAGGAAGTGATTTTCCTCTTATTTTGTTTCAAGGTGAATTGAATTGTGCACAACTTTATAGAATTCGAATAAAACTGTCAACTACAACAACAGTGACGATAACCGGTGACCTGATTTCGAAATTGAAATTATATATAAATATTAATATTTATTTTGTAAAAGAACAATTGTAAATTCCTTGCATAGCATGTGTAACTTCCACTGATAGCAGGAATGCAAACAAAGGCGACGTGAGCCTAAGATGGGGGACGTGAGAACAGCTTTCTGATATGAATACTCTTACTGTGGACCCGTGAGAAGTCTGTGGAAAAAAGAGTCTTTTATCCTTTCATACGTACAGATGGTACGCAAAAACATCGTTAAATTGTATTCGATAGCGGTTAAAATGAATGTTTTCGTTCAAATATGATACCCGAAATTTTCACGATTACAATACTTTCTTGACCGGCACCGGTGGCGTGGCGCTGTAATCCAGCTGGGGTAAGGGCTGCTGGACGGCATGATGTTGGGAGGTTCTGTCCTCAGTGTCTCCCTAAGTCGATCAGGCCTCCGCACTAAGCACGTTTAAGCAGGAGAGAACCGGTGCAGAGCGGAAACAATACTTTGTACAAGGAAGTAAAAAACTGAATTTATGACGTGTACGAGTTCAATGTAAAATGCAAGTTAAACATTTCGAAAATATTTTCAGCCTAAATATCCTTTATAGTACCGCAAATTATGTGCTCTAGTAGGCAGAGAAAGACTTAATATATTTTATTTAGCCAATAAATGCATCTCCGTTTTTAGTAATAATTTCGTAATATTAGATGGATTATATTAGACGGACTAAAGAATATATGTGCTAATAAAAAGTCTCGTGATTAGAGCTAATAATTCGTCATATATTAATACATTAAATGCATTTGTCAGATATAATAAATCTATCTCAAATTATATATACACTGCTAAAAAAAAAGAGACAGTTCTATATCTCCCGTTCTACTGGGCCGATTGACAAAATTCAAATTGCATTTTTCACCTCTCGAAAGCGTGACTTAGGATATATATTAGATTTATATATAGCATTGTTCCAATATAATATTTTGACAGAAAATCGAACTTTTTCTGAAATAACATACCAGTTTTTTTTCCATATTTCCATTCTATGACTCAAATTACGCCAAACTACCAAGTTCTGTAAAAGTCAAAATTGCACGAGTAGTTTTTAAAAAATTAGCTGCTCAAAATTTTAGCTCCTCAATGTTAATTGAGTTTGGGTATCTATTTATTAATCTCTCTTTTTTTTATTAAACTTAATTGACTCTTCCTTTCACATTTCAAAATTCAGGTTCATTCCAAATATAATTCGTCCATTTTTATGATTTATTTTTAAAATTTGTTATTTAAATAATTTTTATAAATTGTTCAAAAAAATTTGAATGAAAAAAAAAATGAAATATATAAAATTTTTATCATCATCTTAAAGTAGACGTATTTCTAAGCATACCTGCAAAAAATTAGTCTTTTATTGAAGATATACGTGAATTTATATATTGGCGCGTTTTGAAATTTCGCATATTTGTTGAAAGCGATGAAATATCAAAGGTGGTTTAGACACTGTTAAAATTCTTTGAAAGTAGGAAAGATGTGACTTTTTTTCCGTTCATGCATAATGTAAAAAGGCAGGAATGAGGTGCCTTTTTTTCCGCTCCGGCGTAATGCAAGGGAAAGAAAATGGGTTGTCATATATTAAGAAGTTCGCCAAGTGAATTATTCTTGACGCAAACTGAAAAAATTTAGCAAGGATATATTTTTGAATTTCTCCGAAATTTTCGCACCAAATTTTACAAAATTTAATATCTAGGCATAATTTGAGTCGTAGAATCGAAATATGGAAAAAAATTGGTATTGTTTCAGAAAAAGTCCGATTTGTGTGTCAAAATACCTATGTTAGAACAATGCTATATATAAAGCTAATATATATTCTAAGTCGCGCTTTCGAGGCATGAAAAACGCAATTTGAATTTTGTCAATCGGCCCAGTAGAACGGGAGATATAGAACTGTTCTTTTTTTTCTGCAGAATGGTAATGATGAGGAAACGCAAAAGTTTATAGCGTAATAAAATTAAATATTTTCACTGAAGTATACTCTTTTAAACAAAATGTCTCGGGCAGTGGAACAAATGACATTCTAATATTTATTGAGAAGTTAAGAGTGGAGCAAAACAAGATGAGAGCTACTATAGAATAATATGCAATGTGAATGCAGAAGCAATGGATCTGAAAATGTCCTTAAAATTCCTAGTGTGTTTTCTAAGTTGAGCTCTTAAGTAATATCCCTAAGCTGTAATAGAATAACTAGTTCATGAGCTGAGATCCTTTATCAAGTGTTCTCAGCTTACAAGACAAGTTATAAACCAAAGCATTGTTATAAAATAGAAATAATTGAAATCCAAACCCAATCTTCCTCAACTTACAAGTATAACTTGTAATTCAAAAATGCATGCAACCTGATAAGATATGCTGCGAATGCACGTTAAAGTGAAATATCATGTTTTAAACCTTAAAAGCGTTTTGTCTTAAAACAAGTTTAACTCATGCAAAGTCTTTAAATTTAGAAAGGAACGAAAAATATTTCGAAATGGCGAATTACAAGTCTTCATATCTGAATATGTAAGTTTTGATTACAAATCAAAAGCGTAATAAAAGCAAATCATTAAAAATGGAGGGAAATGAATGGATAAAAATGGAAGGAATGATTGGATGGAAAGATCTTGTATAGCCTGAAACCAAAATAAAATTCAGAAAATTATATTTATCAATGAGAATCTGAAGCAGAATGAAAGAGATTCATTGGGCCATTGCCATAGGAACCCCTTCTGGGTTTTACATGATTATGAATACTTATATATACACTAAAGACGCTTCTCTTCTAATAAAAATGGCTTGAAATAGCTTCCAAATGATGAATAACATAATCTGCAAATACATCTGAGCTAAAATCCTCCTCTCTTTGTAAATTTTTCCCCAAATTCAAAAGGAGTCGAATTTAGCTCCTGAAATATTAATATACCTTTATTCTAATATCCGGTTTAATTTTGCATGGAATTGACCTTTATAATCCATGATCTTGAAGTCTTGCAGCAATATAAATAGGTCACAGTCGCAAGTAACAGAAATCAATACTCCGATCGTGCTTCCTCATCATTAGTGTTTGATTGTTATGAATTCTTATTTACTTTTTCATTTTCTTTTACAGTGTTAACGGGGATGGTTTCACGCCTTTGGACCTCGCCGTCATGACAACAAATGTAGCAATGGTCCAATTACTCCAATCACATGGTGCTACGGAAAGTCCTAAATGTAAGTACTTATTCACTTTGTGATATACGAGTGACTGGGGGGTTATTGTTCTTAACCAATATAATGTGTGTGTATGTGTGTGTGTATTTAATTATGGCAAAGCGCACTAGGGCTATCTGCCTAAGGGGAGGGATGCCTTTCGTGGAGGACTTTCTAAGGGAAACTGGCTCGTACACACGTTACACATGGGGAAAACCACGAAAACGCCCATGCAGCCAGCCCGTTCGCGGGATTCGAACCTCGGACCGAACTACCAGTGTTCAGCGTCTTTACCGCTCGGCCGCTGGTGGGCGCCCAATATAATGAGTGAGCATCCTGAAAATTAATATTTACCTAGAAATATCTTTGAATGAAATTGAGGAATAGCAAACGCATCAAATATTTTTTTTCCTTTTTTAAGTCCTTTTTTAAGAAACATGCTAGGAAGACTACAGTTTTTTAAGGACATCGAATTATGTATTTCAGTTTATTATCAGGTTAAAACCAATTATGTTATTTTTATACAATCTATCGCTTAGCGTAGAAATAAAAAATAAGTTACCTTTGAAAGAGTATTTTAGCTTGAAATTTAAACCTTTTAACAAGAAAAGGTAAGAGTGTAATGAGAGGAATTCCTTTTCGTTATTTACTTTTCGTGACTCTGTTTTGTTTCTGTATTTTTTAATGTTCTATATTTTTATACATCAGATTAAACACATAGATTTTCTTTATGAGTAAATGTAATAATTAAATTTAGCTATTTATAAACTAAATAAACATCTTCAGAATACTTTAGCCGTATAGTAAAATAGCAGAAGGTTTTTCAAAAGACTTTTATTTATAGATAAAATATTTGAAAAATATTCGCATGCAATCTTATTCTCTATTTCGAAAGGGTACTGGAGTTCGCTCATACAAAGCTATGTACATTTCGTCAGATACGCTAGCTAAGACAACTGTACTTACAAAAGAACTTCATAATTCAAAAGAAAATTTTGAAAACGAAATTCAAAAGAAATTGTTTATGTCTATCTATTTTCGTTTAAATAATAGTCACTTTTTAAATTAAAATGTTTGTCTGATTCAACAGATAAGAAAATTTTGAATTAATTAAAAATATCAATTTTCTACAGGATTTACTAAATTTCATGCAACTGCTAATTTTTTAAAGCATTTGACAGATTTTTTTCTCAGATATATTAATTTTGATCTTCCAAATCACGTAATCCATTTAATAATTGCCTATTTTAAAACATAATTTTCTTGATAAGAGTTGCGCCATTTCCAGAAAAAAGAACTACCCCTGATTTCTACCAAAAAAACAAAGTTAGTTGATTTCATATTTCTTTTATTTTAAATTATATTTTACTTTTAAGACGAACTGATATTAGTTTTTTAATTCTTATACAAAAAAGAATGGCACTTCTATACCTTAGCAAAGAAAAGAAATATTGCCCTATTATTGGCACTGAAAAGAAATATTCCTTTAACTTGCGTAAGAAACGTTAAGAAATGTGAACAGTTATTTCAGGAAAGTAGTTACAGCTCCATTATACGAAACAGTCATGACTAATAAGCGTGTCGGCAGGAAGAAGGAAATTATCTATGGTTAAAGCAAATATCTTACTAAATGCGAAGTTGCTAAACTGTGTTTCATAGTAATGGGTATTTCTAGAACAAGAAATAAAATTTTCCTTTTTCCAGAAATTGTTTTCTGAAATGTAGCATAAGGAAACCTATAAATATTTGACTGCAGGAAAATATTTTAAGCGATCACTTGAGGACCCATTTCAGTGGAAGAACCATGTGCTGTAGAACATTTTATTTAGTTTCATGACAAAACGCTAAACAATTACTTAACTGCAAAGAATAAAGGAAATGTGTAGCAAATAAAATCGCTTCCTTACTCAAGATTAAATTATCTATTAAGTATTGTTTTAAAATTGTCTGATACAGAAAAAAATACAAAAAAATACTGTTTCAGCAGTTTTCCATCCTGTTAAAAATCTCAAAGATTCCTATCTGGAACATAAAACGGAAGTTTAAAATAGGTTGTGTGATAGATTATCTAATAATTTTTTGTAATAATGCTTATATTTAATATTATCAATTATTTTATCTCCCAATATATGCAGCTTAAAAAATAGAAATAATAGCCAGTATTGAAAGAACATTTATAGCAGATAATAACTTTTGGATCAGTATTAAGAAGAAAAATCTCGAATCATTTTTAGCCCAAATGGCGTTTGCCAAGAATAGCTATTAGTCTCAAAATGGGATTCTGCGTTAAATCACTTTAAAAGTCTAAATCACTTTTTAAGACTGTTACCACCAAATATTATCGCCCTGTATTATATTTAAATAAATTACATAATAAATAATCTGCATGAATGTATGTACGTTTCTCGCATTGTGAAAAAAGCAACGGTACCTACAGCCATCAAATTTCGAATAACGTAACCCTTTACCGAAATATGAGCACCTGAAAGCCCGAATTTGGAATTTGTTTTATTGTATATTTCATATTTGTAAAACTTTAACGCATTTTTTATTAGAAATCTCAACGGTTTCAAAGTGAGCAGTGGCAACACTGTAGATAATAAAACAATTTTATCTCCAGTGCGGCAATTCTAAACATATGTTGTTTTTAAATATTTTCAGTCCAAAATGGCGTTAGCCGAAATGCTTTCGAAATCACTGAAAAACACGTCCGTTTGGGCGTGTTTTTCAGTCTGAAATAAAGTCTGAAAATTTTTAGATTTTATTTTCTTTGCTTCAATTTTATATTTAAGATTATTTTTATTTATCCCCCCCCGACTCGCTAACCTGGAAAGGTTCGATTGTAACTGGAAGTTCTGAGACACTGCTAGACAAATAGCGAATTATCACTACGTCTTAAACAACTCTCAAATACAAAAGAAGATTAAAATTTTTCTTTATTATACTTAGGAGAATAGGCTTAACTTGTGCTACAGCCGAAACTTCCACCACTTGTGGATCTTTAAATTAACATAACAGACCATTTAAATTAAACTTTGGTAATGTAATGCTAATAGTCTAAAAATAAATATGATAATGCAAACAGACTAAAGGTAACTAACGCAGATATTTTACCGGCGCGTATTTTAAAACATCAAACATTGGCTAAAGAGAATGCAATCGATTTTAAATAAAGTTGGCGAGAAATGTTTACAGCAAGAAGCAATATGTAAGTAACTAAGATATAACTTCGTGTATGTGCTCTTGTATATTTGTCAGAATATCCAGCCGGTCCTTTTAAGGTTAAATACTCGACTCTATGACTTTTCGTTTTCTAATTTATCTCTCTCCCTGTCTTTTGTTTTGGAGTATTTAAATCTTTCTCTTACGCATTCTAACATCGCTTCCTTATTTTAAGGCAATAATTCTGATGCTGTTCGGTATGAAACTAAAGGCTAAAATCATAATTCGTTAATTTATAAATAGTTGATTAATTAAGCTTATATAAAAAGTTGATTAATTAATTCATTAATATTAATTAGGATTTAGCATTTTATGTTGTTTCGTAAGGTATTTAATATCATTTCTAATATCTCAGACGCATGATTTGTGGAAGTGTCCGTGAACTCATAAGTCTGTTCGTCTGTATACACACTTTCTTAGAATAAGTTTGCAAAACGGCTGCAGTGTATTCTGCGGCTGAAGACAAGTAAATAAAAAAAGTATCTGAAAGGTTTCAGGTTTTAAATTAGTCCAAAGAGGCGTTTTTTACTTCCTTGTACGAAGTAAAATGGAAGTACTGTAATCGCGAAAAGTTTCAGGCAGCATATTTCAACGAAAATATCCATTTTGACCGCTATCGAATGCAATTAACGGTGTTTTTGCGTGATATCTGTACGTAAGAACAAAATAAAATACTCTTTTCCTTCAAAAAAATTATAAAACTGCTTTAAAATTAATTCTGAAGAGAATTTTTCGTGGCGTCTGTACGAACGTATGTACGTACGTTCGTGCGTACGTACGTATCTCGCATAACTCAAAAACGAGTAGCCTCAGAACGTTGAAATTTTGTATATAGAACTGCTATAACATGTAGATGTGCACCTCGTATTTTAGTTGCAATCGATCGTATATATCCACTCAGTGATCTCAGTTTCTTTACTCTTATATGTTTGTAAATTGTACATTTTTTTCTTTAAAAATGATTGAATTATATTGTTTTTATCTTCCGGTTAAGGATTTTATGCCTTTAGTAAATCTGTGTGCAATATTTTTAGAATTATCAGCAATTTTAAAGTTGTTTAATTGCCGCTAAGCCTGTTTTTAATGGCGGCCATTCATGTTTACATTTTAAACAGGAGACTATGAATTTGTTGCCAATCTAGAGAAACTTAGCTTGGCAACAACAAAGATAACGCATTCATTTATTATTGCCAATTAAATCATGCTTAATTCTTTCTGGAATTTTTTCGAGGAAATAACCGTTTGAGATTTACTTCGTAATTTTTAATATAGATATTTTGAGTTTTTATGTATTTTTGCCTTCTCGCGAAGTAAGAACTGAATTAATTGAATGAGAAATACTCAATCGTCTGTGAAAAACTGTTTCTTTTTTGTTTTATTTGCTTAATTTCTTTTATACATCTTTCTACCTTTATTATAGTATTTGAATAGAACATGTGGCAACGATTAGATAATTCTATTCTTTAAATGATATAAATTTTGTGCATTCTGAGTTATAATATGAACGAAATATAATACTGAAGTGGAGTCATCACTTTTGCGCAACACAAAAAGTGAGAATTTTAGCTGATTTTCGAGTTTTAATAAGTCAAATTGTTTTTGTCATACATATATGAAATTTTCAGTGTGTCATTTTTATACATAGATGATTATCTTTCTTTATTTATTTTATTTAATAGTGTATAAGAATTTGTTTTATAAAGAAAAAACTAGCAGTATTTTCCGAAATTTAAAATTTGTACCGAAGCACTGCGCGCAAACTGACAGTAATACAAATTTAGTTACAGTAATAATTTTTA